AATAGTGAAGAATCAAAAGCATGTAACTGTCAATCGGACTGTTCAACGAGGTGTTCATGTAAGAGTGAATAGTATCTATAGTCAACGTTGTCATCGAAACCATTACTCTTAACATATAACCTGCCGTGTACCCTGTTGTGCATAAATTTTGTGATTATATCGCATAGATGTCACTCTGAGCTTATTTCGATTTGGGTCGACCCTATTCCGAATTGGGTCAAATTTCGATTTGGGTCAGAACATCTTACCATAACATTCGTCCATTTGTTAGAGATGAATTTAAAGATATTACTTGTCCCAAACCAATCTATACTGACAATGATTAAAAGGATATTCAAGTATTTATATAAAAAAAAAAAGAATTAACTAAAGCATGGTAAACAATATAATAACAGAACTCCAAGAGAAAAACAAAGAATTACGAGAAGAAATCAATAATTTCAATAAAAAAAGAGAAGAGGAAATAGAAAATCTTAAACCAAAAATCTGACATGTTACTGGTCAGTCTATTGATAGCAATGGCGAATGTAGCCTGTATTGTCCTACAGGAACAAGATGATACAAAAAACTAAACAAAAAGTGAATGGATGAAGGCAAATTAAGAATGGCAGTAGACCCTAATGAAACAAGAGAATGAGCCAAAGGTTGTAAAAGAATTTATTTTGACAACATCACTATTGAAGAAATGTTAGATGGCTTTATTGATAGTTCAAATGAGTTAAGTTCACAATGATTAGAATTTGTTGGATTGTATACTAGAACTAACGAAGAACATTGAGAAAAAAGATGGGAGCTTGAAAAGAAAATTGAGGAACTAAACAAATATAAAGAACAAGTCGAAGATTTAGCAGGAGCAGTTAGAAAACTTTTATCAACTTGATATAAGAAACAAGAAGAAATTAATGACATTTCTTGGAGTGAGCAAATCCATAACTGAGACTTAGAAGAATTAAAAGAATTACAAAACAACACAGGAGAAGACTTAAATGAAACGGTTCTTAGAGTTATTGAAAAACTAGATCAAACTTCCGCAGATCTGGTTGAAGCAATTAATGTAGCTGAAGCATGAAAAAACTGACAAAAAGGACTTTTGAATGAGGAGATCAAAATACACAAGCATTCGTTACAAAAATCTGATAAAAAACTTGCAGAAGCAATAGGAAAAAATACAAAATTGCAAGAGAAGTCAGAAGGGAAGTCAAAAATGTTAGCAAGAAGTGAGAAAAGAGAAGCAGAGTTAAAAAGACAATTATATTTAGAAAGAAAGCCATTGCCTGCTCTGCCTAAAAAATGAAATGCTTTTCAAAAATTAGGTTCAAAAATTAAAACCAAATTCCAAAAAATCCAACAATTGGTAGAAAATAGAAAACATCAAGCCCAAGAATTTACTACTAGAATAGAAGTAAAAGTTAGTTAATTTACTTTATTATTATGAAAGAATTACTTTACACTATTTTGGAGTTAGAAGAATGGCATAGTAGTAATTCTGCTTGTGATTTTTGCCTTGGTTTAAAGAAAGCAGTTTGCCAAATCAGGACACGAAGCAAAGCAACTGGTGAAATGATCGAAAGTCATAAGTCTTGTGAAAGTTGTAGAGAAAAGTTTGAAAATGATGAGTTGCCTAAATGTAGTTGTGGAAGACTAAAGACTAGATATACTTGTGATTGTAAAGAAGAAGGAGAAGAAAAAGAACTTCCTCTTTTGCCTTATCAAAATGGAGGAATGTCATATTTTTATGAAAGACAAATAAACTCCTTACAAGAGAAATTAAATAAAGCAGAATGAACTATTCAAGAGGAATGAGAAGCCCATGAGAATTTCATGGAAAAGTCTGAGGAGTGAGGTAAAAGACAAAAGCAAGAACTCTTAGATAGAATTAAGAAGTTGGAAGCAGAGAATAAAAGATTAAAGAATTTAACTCCTCAAGAACTAATTGATGAATTAAACTCTTGTAGAGAAAAAATAAAGAGTTTGGAAGAACAAAATGGTCATTTGGTGGCTCAAATAGAAGTTAAAGAGTCCAAAAGGTGATCTTGATTAAAAGTAAAAAAATAATTAAAATTAAAAGTTTTGAATAAAACCTAAATTGTTTCTTTTAGAATTTTCTTTTCTTGCTTGATTTTTGAATAAAACTTTCTGGCATTCTTTTGAAAACTCTTTCTTTTTGGTAAACTTCATAGGTAATTCTTTCTTTGTCTAAGTATGCTTGCAAAGACTTGGTTTCTGTTAGTTTGAAAATATATGGTGCAATTTTTTCACCTTGTTCTTGTTTTAAAATACTTCTAATAGTGCTATAATTCTTTGGTTTTGATATAAATTAGTTTCATATAATTTATTTTTATATGGACATAATCCTATATTGATTTATTAGTAAATGCAATAAAACTTTATAGATAAGTTTCATTTAATTTAAATGTTAGTACATTTGTCGAAACATACTAAAAGCCTTTTTAAAAAATTAATTGTGTAAATCCACTTTTTTATTACACTATATATACATAATTCTTATCACTTTTTACTTCCTGCCACTTTGGACTCTTAATTTGCTTTTCTGCTTAACCTTTCATTAGAGAGTTTATTGCATGCATGATGACATGTTATTCACAGATTAAAGCAGGTATTATGAGACATAAAATAGTTGCCCTTTACACATGGCCTATTTTTGGAAAAAGCAAAAGAATTCTTGCATGGAAAATCAAATGATTTAATGTGATCAAAATATGTTTCTTGAAAGGAAGACACTCTAGCTAGTATCATACAATTAAAATCATAATTGACATGGACGATGTCGATCACGGCTTTTTGCAATTAGCTCTTTAAAGTTTGGTGTTGCAAGGGTATTGCGCTTGTTTGGTTCCATTTCTGCAACAGGGTGGGACATAGCACAATTAGTCCAGAATGCATTGGAGACAACAAGAAGTGTGTCAAGACTGGTGATGAAGGCAGGCAGCTGCTCAAGTGACATGGGCACATTGAGATGACCAATCTCTACCATAACATACAGACTGTCATATAAAAGAGTGGAGAGGTAAAATGTGATGTGTGACCCTGTCAAGCTTTTGTCAGTATAATGATTGATCAAAATAAAATAAAGTAAAAATCTAAGTTGGAATCTTACCGATGACTTGAAATCCAAGCATGCAGTCCTTGTTATAAAAGTCAATAGCATCCTTATTAAACACAGCAATCCAGATAAGATCAGTGCAAAGGCTGTAGAGGTTGTCCACCTCTTCCTGCACTTTAGCTTCACCATGTCCCCTACTGGAACCCCAAGACAACTGGTCAACATTGCTTATAATGGCATCAGGTTGCTTTGCACGACCTGTCAATTTCCTTGCTTTGGATTCAGGTGCCTCCTTGTTAGACCTGGAAAATTTTTGTTCAGAGACTGGATATGGAGATTACTGTATAACAATTATCAATGAGTTACCATTGCAAAAAGACATCATGATCAGGGTCAGCAAAAATGGGACTCAGCATTGTCATCAGACCAAACATCACTTGTTTGGAATGGTGATGATGCCTGCAGAGTTGTGGAATCACTGCAAGGTCTTTTTTTTGTTTGGCATGGATCAAGTATCTATTATGAAGTAAAATTTCTTGAACTGATAAACAAAACATGCACTATAGACAGACATATCCAGTAATAGGCACTGGCATCCTATCAAGATAGTAATAGCAATAACAGCAAAAACAGCAAAAACACTTACAGGGCTGTCACTTGCAGATTTGCGTTTTAGTTGTGCATTGAGGACTTCACTGTCTGTATGAATAACTTCTGTTCATACTTCTGTGAATTTCACCCTCTCTCTCAACAGTGTTGCAATAATCACACTCACCATTAATATTAAGTGGATCTAATTCCTGGACCGCAAATGTAATCTTACTCCGTGCAAGTTCTGAGACTGCAGTGGAATGGGTAACTGTATCTTTATGTAACAGAGTGTTGATTTGTAACTTGGGAATGATAATTAGTATTTGAATAGTTTGATGAACTCAAAACCACATGAGATTTGAAACACTTACTTCGGATATCGTTTTTGTTGCTTGGTTTTCCAAAGCTGCTCTTTCCTTCGCCATATGGAGCTCCCAGAACTGCTTTATCTGTTTCGAATTTTTGGTTTTCTTGTATGGATTGCAAACAGATAGAGAAGTGAGGGAACTTATCGGGTTTCCCCTAAAAGACAAGTAACTCATAATCACGGACAAGCCGAAGCGGTTCCATTGTGAGCCGCAACCCACAAAGTAGTCCGTATAGGCGCTGCCTGCACACTGTCACACTATTTGGTGTGCGCATCAACATGCCTAAGCGTTTCCCACTGCAGGCCGCAACCAGCAGGGTAGTTGATGACGGTGCTGCACAGCATTATCTTTGGAATTGTCCGTATAATAAGAACACTTGCCTTAAAAGTTCGTTTCAACTTGGCTACTTTCCGTCCAATATCGGAATTCGCGTCGGGATAATGCAAACTGATTTTGTGCAGTTCACTACTATAGCAACTATGCTCGGTTTCTTCATCCTCCAACTCACTTGATAGGAGTCGGTACGTTAAAAATCTCATTATGGAAGGCCTAGTTTCCTTTTCCCAGAAGGCTGTACAAAGACGAAAATTAACGCGCCCGTAAGGATTGTTGTAAGAATTTGGCCACTCCTGCTCTTACCGCGAAATTTCAAGGAATCAAGGCATTCATCATTTAACTTCATTTTGGCAAAAAGATTCAGTGAGGGAGTGCAAAGGTGGTAAAGACAATGTGTGCTAGCGGAGCGAAGCCTTCTTGAGCGACTTAAACACCAAGTGCAGCAACGTTCGTAAGTGGAGGTCAAAAGGAGGACGCTTGCGCGATTTCAAATTCCCATGGGAAAATTTAACGAATGCGTCACGTGGAGATTATGCGTACATCAGCATTGTTTTTATTGGTGTTAGCGATCAATAAACTCGTCAAAAACAGCGAGCTTGCAAGGGAGGGAGCAGTAGGCCCCTAGACCTGCCTGCGGCAATTAACTGTCCCTATTCTTTGGGCTCGTTAAAGTTACTAATTTTCGCTGTTATCAATTGTAAGATTCTGGGTTTTCCGTTTGTAAAAGTTCTCCAACGTAGAGGTTCCTATGTTGCCCTTCCCAAGGTCTTCAATCTCGCTCTTAACCTTGCAGTACATTTTGGACAAACTAATATCGTCCAATTCCTCTCATCAACGAGCTTTTAAACTCGTTCCAGAGTGTTAGAACGTCTCCGCCATATGATTTTGGAGAACGATGTTTATCGTTTGGTTTGAACCACTTGAGTATTTCGCAGAGGCTTCCTTCAATACCATTGAGTTTGTCAAGCACCACATTATGTGTAGCGGTTTGTTGGCGGTTATTGATATATAAAAAGCATGCAATGGTAAAAACTGCATGCCAGCTGATCTTGTTGGCAAACACCCAAGCAAAGAACAAAAGCGCAACAGCTTCTGCAACTTTGTAGAGAAACTTCTACAAACGGAAATCAGTTAGCATTCTTGTTTGCATGCAGACTCTTTGTTAGAAGATGAATATAACGAACCATGTTTATTGAATAAAGCTTTTTGGAAAATTCAAATGTTTTTGTTCGCGATTAGATACAGTCTTTTTGTGCAAGTTGAAAACAACTTGCAATTTTTTTCTATAATTTTTTTTTTCCATTATAATTTTTTTGTTTTTTTATATAATTTATTTTTATACTTTATAGTATAAAACAAAATTATATAAAAAAACGCAAATTATATAAAAAAAGAGAGAGATTATATAAAAAAAGAAAAAAAAATAGATTTAATTTCATATTTTTTAATTTACTGTAATTTATAATGTTATTTATTTAAATTTACAATCACTAAACAGCCTTTGCAATAACCAATATCTAAGAACTCCAATAGAAATCATAGTTATGGATTCCCAATCCGTCATACAAAAAAAACCGAAAGAAAGAAATATTGCAGAGCAATGGCTTATCGAGCCTACCACCTATAAAACTTTATCTTATGGATGTGGATGAGGCTACAAGCATGAATCGTCTCGAAATGTTGGACATCCAGCAATAGCATGGCCTTTCAGTAAGGTATTTACTGGTAGGAGTGTTTTTGTTTTGGAAGTGTGAATTTCATCTTGCTTTTATACACGAATGCTAGTCGCTCGCTTATAAATTAGTAATAGGTCTAAATGTCACTAAAATTTAGTTCATTTATTTGTGTATGAGCCACAGTTATAAATCGAGCAAAGCCTCACCAAAATGGCACCAGCTAAATTAGTTCATTTTCCAGCCACATCAGCCTCTTTTAGCTCACATGATCAAATGTTCACTTTGTCTGGTTTTGTTGCAGTCTGTCCCATATGTATGCCGAGGACTAATGTTAATGTATTATTAATATGGTTTGATCATGTGAAGGGCATCTTTTGTTTCTCTGATATGTCAAATAAGATTATTGTGGAAAAAAAATAAGACTTGGTCACGAAGATCACATATTGTCGGGAAACAAGATGGTTGTGTTGGATCAATTCCAGGAATCAGCCGTGTCTACTGTAAACGATCGATCATGCGGACCATTGTCGCAGATACGAAGGTCTAGCTTATTGTGCCACATATATTTATTGTTATGGCTTGTAATGTTCAATGAATTCCATTTTCGTAGAGAATTGACGCTCAATGCATGCATGCTTTATTTCGCATCATTTTCATCATACTTGAACAGTTTTCTTGTTGGACAAAAGGCGTTGTGTATGCAGCCCTGTCTGATAGTTTATTAAGCACATCACGATTAGGCTTAATATACGTTCTAAGAAAACCTTTTCTCTCTCCAGCTACTAATACGAACAATAAACTATACTATTCAACACAAACATATATCATCAACGTAATGACTGTAAACTCTCTCGCAGAGACTGGCGACCGCACAACAAGAGAACAACTTCTCCGTCATCTTGACGCCGAGTTCAACAAGCCCTTTACAAGCTGGGACTGTTCGTACTTGAGAGGACGTATTGTTGAGCAATCGAGTACTCTACCATGGGATTACGAGGAGACTGTGCGTGGATTACTGTCTCAATCGCAGGGCTTGTTAGATATGGGAACGGGTGATGGTGAGTTTCTGGCTGCGTTGAGCCCTCTGCCAAAGGACACGTGCGCTACTGAAGGTTGGGCCCCCAATATTCCTATTGCCAGGCGGAAGTTGAAGCCACTGGGCGTTACAGTAACTGGTCAGTAAATCTTTTTAATGTGAAGAGGTAGCAAAAAGGAGAGAAGAGGATAGAACCAAGACAACTCTGTAGCAGAGGCATTAGATATACCAGATAATGGATAGAATTTTGTTTGCGTTCAGAATATTATGTCTTAAGTTATTTGTCATATTTTCCATTCGTTTCTATCATTTTCAATCGCACAGCAATAACTGAGAAAGATATTCGCCTGCCTCTTAACGATGCCCGTTTTGATCTGATTATCAATCGCCACGGTACTTATACACCATTTGAAGTTCATCGTCTTCTTAAACCAGGCGGTATTTTCGTCACACAACAGATCGGGGAAAAGGATAATGTCGAGTTGAATGCCCTTCTTGGTGTGACCGATATGTTTAAGACACATCGTAATTGGAATCTTGAAGTTGCTACCTTAGAGCTGCAGAAGGCCGGTTTTCGTGTAATTGAAATGAATGAAGCATTTCTGGAGACCAAATTTCATGACGTTGGCGCTGTAGTGCTGTACTTGAAAGCTCATCCATGTCAGATTGAGGAATTTTCTGTAGAGAAATATTCTGAGCAGTTGGTTGCGCTACATAAGAGGATTCAGGAAAACGAAAGTGTTAGTTTCCAAAGCCATAGATTCTTTATAATGGCCACGAAACCTTAGAATGGGAAGGAAGGGTTGGAATAGTGGACACGTATAATTGGGATAACGGACTTTTGCATTTGTTCGTCAGTATCTTTTTTTGTTTGAATTATAGTTGTTTGTCTTCATATAAGCGTGTTTTTCTTGCTGTTATGAACCAATGCGTCAAAAGTATTATTTGGTAAAGGTTTTTCATTTTCAAAAGCATCTTTGAGATGGTCGAATCAGCTATCAACAATAGTATTATTAGACGTTCTATTTATATTTACATATTTTTAATTATTAATAATGAAATGAATCACTACGTTCAAGTCTTATATCGTAAGTCAAAATGTATAATATTAAAGACATTTATTATTACTTGTATTATTTATTACTATTACCACTATTAAAATAATTAAACCCCCATCACATGACACACAATACATTTATCCAAATGTGGGAAGTGTGTCTATTGCGCGTTAACGAACATGTGATGAAGGAGTTGAAGAGGAAGTTAAAGAGTGATACTCCGCCAGCCCAAACTTAGAAAGAGCGATGCGAAGTGGTAAAACACAACGGAACGTACCAACATTGGCGCCGCTAACGCAATAGTGATGACTCAAAAGATCACATAATAAATATTATTAACTATTTTGTTCCGATATTATGAAGCGGTGGTCTTGGAAGTTTTGTTTTTCTTCGATATCGAAGGTTCTACATTAATATGTAGATTTTGCCTGCGCGTGGAATACATGGTGCACTCGTCAAACATAAGTACCATAAGTCCTAGAGAAGCAAGTCAGCAATTGTTGCATATGTTGCTATTGCTAGAAGAAATGATCACTAAAGATATTTACGCTCATGTTTTAGACATACTAATACAGTAGAATTTTATGTTATAAATCAGTAGCTCGACGAAGTGCAAAACTTTGGTGCAACATGATTTCACAATGACTGTACCGATAATAATAAGCACCTCCTTACAGCATTTTTTCAGTGAGTTTATTAAATTGATTAGCATGCTCTGTGGAATGGCATACCATTGTTCTACCATACAATCCTCCAGCTCTTCAAGATTTTTTTGGTATAGGTTCTCCACATCTCTCTTGACAATTTCCCAAAGTACGAATAGAACGTCTTTCTGTAAAAATTCTTAGAATTCGGCTAGTACGTTTTTCTGTTGAATTGCCATTTTTGCTGAAAAGTCTTGCGTATAGAAGACAAGGAATTATATAATGAATATCAATACAACTATTTTATTCCTTCAGCACTCTCCATTAAAATTATGCAACGTTGCAGACGATTTATCCAATCCTGGAAAAACTTCTCATAGTCCAGCTTTTGGGATAATTTTGGCAATTCTAGACCTTATCAAATCTTTTTTCCTTTTGTTGTTTTTTCATTGAGAGAATAAGAAAAGATTACAAAAATTATGAATGGTATTGGGAAAAAGTTTCATTCGTTCATGATCGTTGCCTTGTCGTGATAAAGTCACAAACAGCTATTCTTTCCTTTTTGAAGGCTCAGCTCATTATGCAATAAGATTCTCGACCTTGGTAATTTTTCCTGACGTCACTGTTTGCGAGGACGTCCAGAACGAACCTTGTCTTTTATTTTTACTTACTCGTCTTTGAATGTTGCAATCCAACGTTTAATTGTGCTGGTAGACAACGTTTGTTTTTCCTTCTACGTGCGTCGTTAGTTCTTACGGCTCAGTTGTTTTATTTATTACTAAGCTTTACAGAACAAAATGGTTTCTTGATAATGTGATAATAAACTTGCTCTACATTTTTTTTGATTGGTTACATGAAAGCATGTGCATTTTATAATTATTGTTAAACGCAATCTCGAGTTATAGGACACATGCAAAATTTTTCAGTATATACAAAGAAGAGGAGAGTGAAAACAAAACACACGTTTGCATTTGGTTTATCATAAACCAATTTTATTTATTTAGGTATGTTAACAAAGTATGTGTAAATTTTGTAGAGCTAAAGATCGGCGAAAATAGCCTTGTTTAATAATTCATCATTCAAGAAAGCTTAAACACTTCAAAATTTACGTACAGATTCGTGAAAAGCTAAGCTACAAATTAATATAACATTTTTGTCCAACTATTATACTAAACTCAAAAAGCTCCCAGCGGATACTTTCGTCCAGGGAGTGTACATGAACATTTTTAAGACAAATTGCTCGGTGATTAACAAGTAAATCCGAATTCAAACGCGTTATTAGTTTACGGCAATATGCATTTCAATGATTAATAATGACGTGATTTCTTCTCTGTGACACACAACGATTAGAACTGCCAGGGCAAGAAAAATGGCCACATTAGAAAGGAAGGCAATTAATTACAAATACGACACTCCTGAATTACAGTGTGTGACAAAAAAAAACTTAACTATAGAAAATCCGTTATAACTTTATCAAAATTGCATCAATTTTAATTATTGATACTTTATTTGAAAGCCAAAAGATATAACCCAAGTTTTATAGAGTTAAAATTAATTCGCTCACCATTGCTTGCAATAACAAGCTCACAACGGCGTCGCATTGAATTTACTAAATTGTTTAAAACGGATTCCGGAATAGAATTCCATTCTTCTGACATAAACTTTTCTAATTCATTTAAATTTTTGGGCAGTCGTTTTTCAACGTTGCTCTTAATGATAACCCATAAGTTTTCTATAGGATTAAGGTCAGGACTACAGGAAGACCAGTCCATAAAACCTTCGGCACATGAAATTCTTTAGCTACCTTACTAGTATGCTTGGGATCATTATCTTGCTGTAAGCGCCACTTTACCCAAGTATCTTATTAATCTCACTGAGGTAATTTTCAATAGTACTAACATAAAACTTGCCATCTATTATGCGTTGAAAGCAAATAAACTTGTCTTCCCTTTTATAGAAAAACCACCCCAGGTAAAAATTTTCCTTCGGTCTTTTGGCATACGACGAATTGAACGTTTACCTTTGTACCAGTGTTCAATTGTGTTTCGATACAGCTCAAATGCTGTTTTATCGGCGAATAAGGTGGGGTGGTTTTCCAATTGTCGTTAAGGTGACGCTTGGCACATTCGACACAATTTCGCTTATGAACCTCCGTAAGCACTGGCGTGGCTAAAGCTAAGGCCTAACGACTCTAAATACCTGCCAACGGTACGATAAGCCACGTCGATATCATAATTAAGTTTATTAGCGAGAGAACGTAATGATATTGATGTATCACGGCGTATAGTTTGACTGATATATTTCGCTATATTAATATTGGCCGTTATTTTTTGGACGACCATTACCGCCCTTATGCTTCAAAGTACCAATTTTTTTTAAGTTTTTCAACGTTATATCATACAGTTGAGACCGATAACTTTGTATTTTTGCTAGCTCGGGCACAGAACGGACACCGTTATTCCAATAATGTAATAAAGCGTGCATTTTTCGATCGTTTACATTTTGACAGTGAAATTTGCAAAGTTTGTTTATGCTTTTATTTAAGACGCGTAATAAAAGCTTGTTGCTACATTTCTTAATTGGTAAAATATGACGCAAATTGAGTTAGAATTGACAAAGTTTAATTAGTGGTTAATCCCCAGTAACGACGACGAATAGTTATAAAAGACTAGCTTAGGCGATAGCAGAACAGCTAAACTCGCCATTCTTATCAATCAATTCCTTGCTTGGAATAGTCCTATATTCTAATAATAACAAATTGTGTTAAAAAATAATATTTTATTTAGCCCGTTGTTAATGCCTGGCAAAGAATAACTGTGGTATATATATAGCTTTGAGCTATTGAGAGTTAAAACGTGTTCTCCGACCGCGAATTCCTGAGATTATACTTGCCCTTAATCTCAAAGGAGTTTTTTCGAAATTAGGATTATTATTTAATTGTAAAGAAATCGACGTAGATCTCTAGGTCAAATAATAATTCAGTAGGAATATATGACTGAAAACAACCCACCAATCAAAAACCAAATTCTGAAGAAAGTATTGCCGAAAAAACCAAAACTATTGCTCGTCAAGACTGACATTAGAGATCGTAAGTCACATAGATTTATCTCGAATAGTAATATTGAAAGGTTTTGTTTGAAAAGCCTAAATCTCAAGGCCCGTCTACCAACGCTCTCCCGGCTACATTGCTTCGACAGTGTATAAATTTCACAGGAAAGTTGTTATACACCACTATGTATAATCCTATATTTTATATTAAAGTCTTATAGCGATAATTTAGCCGTTAATTGTTCAAGATTAGCTTCAACAAAATTGTATTTCGCATAGTACGTGTATTATGAGGTAGAATTTTGCCCTCAAAGAGAAATACAGTGGTATAATCGGATGTTAGCAGGTGGAAGTGTGTAGAACCATTTGTGTACGTTGTGATAATGATAAGAACTAATAATATAGATTTCAGTTGTAAACCGAATAATTGTTGGATTTTAATGGCAAATTCGGATTATTAAAAAGAAAACTCGTTAGTCGAAGATGTCGTTAATCCGAACTTAAGCCTCGGTTCCGTTGACTTCGAGTTGACGAAAACTTTTAACACAGCAATAATACTTTTTCTGTATCTTCATTATATTCGTCGTATCGAGCGAGGTTCGACTGTATTAACGCGTCGTATTGAAAAAAAAAAACATTTGTGGCCGTAGATAATTGCGTGTTAGCAGAAGTCAAGAAGCTTGCTTGTTATAGTAAAAACCTACAACCAAATATGTGGTCTGTTCGCCGAACTGATCAAAATGAAGATCGTTGGTCGATTGTTATCTTTATTTATTTATTACATCAAATCAATGACCAACCAATCACATTCGATATATGAGACAAAATAGGAGGCTGTTATGGAATTACACTATTACCATTCACGTGTCCACACATCACACATTTCTTTGCCTCGAAGCGATCTTGGATATAGGTTATACATATACACGACAAGATGGTGTTATCAATTGGACAGATATTCTACTGTGTTTTGCTGGTTATTAATGCTATAGCAGTGTTGAATGAACAGAGATTTCTTGCTCGGAGTAAGTGAAAAGTTGATGAAAGTCAAGAGTGGTAGAATTGGTACAAGGTGGAAATGTTGGAGACGTTTACATGATCAGATAATGACAACTTGTGAGATCATCTGTTAATAATAGAGCAAGTATACTGATCGAAGCCGATGTAATTGTTCTAGGAGACTTTGTATTTCGCGGGAACGGTTAATCAGTGTAGTAGTCACACTTCTTTAGTTAATATGCTCGTCTCACTGTATAATCCTCTTCTCTCTGTAGTCGGAATGAGTCCACAATCGGATCAAGGCTTTGGCAGTGATGGTCCGTCACTTAAAACCAACATTATAAATCTCATATCAGCCGTGAGAACGCTAATGCGAAGTAAGACTCATTTTTGAACAAACATGTGGTTCCATTGATTGAACCGAATTGCTGACTTTTCTGACTTTTTACTTTATAGTTCCGTTAATCGCCGTGAATATTCTTGTTATTATATATGAGATATTACTTGGATAATAGTCAACCGCAATGTCTATTGAGAATCCCGTGTGCTACTAGCGCTTCAGCAACATTATTTTTATTAATGGCACTTACGATGTAATGACTTGTGAAAATATTTCCAATAATAGACATTTTAAAGATTCACAGCTGGTTCTTTATGATATCTGGATGGCTAGATAGATGATACAAATTTAAGTATACAGCTGCACATATCGAATAAATCTGGTAGAGACTAAAGTGTTCATGGCTGATGTATGTGAGATGTTTCATCTTCATTCAAATGTGGAATACATGTCTGCACGCCAGTTTGACTTTAATGTTATACGATTTACGCGTTCTGGTACTTTTTTTTTTTCGATCAAGTTGAAATTACATTGACAACCGAACGAATCATGTCTTAATCCATTTTCAAAAAGAAGTGTTTCTATATTATAAATTTAATAACAAATACATACCACAAGAAGGAAATTCAAAAGTGGCGTAGACGGGCTGAGATGTTTAATTTGAAGTAATGTAACAGCTAATTAATGTTTATTATGTAAACGAAAATTTATAAATATTTGTGTCAAAACTTTTTGAACCCTCACGCGTATGTCAGATATTGACGCTCATACAAAAGTTCATAACATAAGACAAGCCCAGTTACGTTCACGAGTACAAGTCAGAATATGGAATCCTATTGTTTTCTCCACAATTTTATCAGTTACACGTTGGGTTTTGTATGCATAGTATCGTTGTGCCAGGGAACCATCTGTATGCTAGTCCGACACATAGATAGCTCGATTATAGTTAATACTGTTAACGTCCGGCAAAATTATTCTGGGAGCCTGTAGAATGGTTTTACCGCATGTCCCATGAACCATAAGCATTCTAGTCAATAGGGGACGATAACAATAACTACACAACCAAAACATGAAAGGTCAAGTTCCGAGAAAAATTATGATATCAGCATGATGACAGTAACATGCGGCTAATTTATGGTATATTTCGAGATCTGAGCAATCACGTTCTCTTTTCAAACTAAAACGGGTAAACGATGTAAACGGGGCGTGAGGAGTATATCACACGTGTTTCCCTGTAAAGGAATAACAATCGCAATGCAGACCATGTAACCAGTACCGCCCGAGCACTAGATCGATATACAGATTAGTGGGTTCACAACCTTACCAAAATATCCAAACTTACCAGTAAAACATGAAAAATCGAAAACCTGTATTTATTATTATTATGAAAATCGTTGTGTGAAACTAATTGGGTGTACTTTTCGAAAAAGAAATAGCGTAAAACTAGAACCTTCCATAAATGCATGCTACCTGAGCTTGAGTAAATGGCACGCCCGTGACTTTACGTGATATCGATAATGTTACATTGAAAAATTACACGTAAAATTTGTACCTATAATTATGGACAAAGACCAAAATAAAAAAGTTTATTGCTACATTCTGATTTTGGTTACCAAGTAGGTTAGAGAAAACAAATACGACAAAATTGAAATTTACGTTATTTTTTCAGTCACTTTCATTAATTAAAAAACTTCGCAGACGCCTAGCAGATTTGCTATAAGCCAAATGGGAAGTATAAGCTGTTACATTAATATTGTTTCTGATTTCCAGCAAACAAACAAAACAAACAGAGAATTAACAGATAATGAAAAGAACAAGAATCTTATGTTACAAAAAATTATCCGGATTAACCAGTGAATGTAACTTAGAGGTACATTTTAGGTGCGTCTAATAAGGGACACGAAGCCAGTAAAATTTTCACTATTACTATAGAAAACGGTCGGATTACTAATACTATATAATAGCAATAGTCAAGAAAGACTGAGCCCAGAATAATTAGCATTAATGAGGCTTCAAAAATTTTTGCAACAACAAAATTATGCTGAGGAACTATTCAAACAGCTTGAAAATACACTAGAAAACGGAGAGTCGGAGCGAATAGTACGATGACCAATATGGTTGGAATTAAGCAGTTAGTATGTTAACATTTTATATATTGCAAAAATATGCGATCTGTGATAGTTAATCGCGACGTTACTGTTAAACCCATTTGTTGGCCTAGAGCGTCGTTACTACCAGAGCGATTTGTATATTGATAAGAGCAAGAAAACTTGTGCAGACCGGCCGGCAATAACCGTTTGGCACAATAATAGACAAAAGATAATAACTGTTGATATTGTAGACTGGTTGCTAAGCGATATACATTGTGCAACACAATAATTGACTTTTGCACGCATAGCGTAGCTTCACAAATAAATAACGTTTAATATTAATTTTAGTAAAGAGTTAAGTCAACCTTCTTGTTATAAAAACACGTCTAAATCTTAATTTTATTGTTGAAAAAAAAAGGAAAATCGCCAAACACATATTACGTAGCATTTTACACGTAACAATTAACTATACTTTATAACGTTTTGCTGTTGTCATATGTAATTACCTCCACCTTTAGAACTAAAGAATGTATTCCCCAAAACAGTGCCTCAATAGCTGGTCTTTGGTCTGTTTCGAGATTGTCACATTACTATTACAATAATCCCATACCAATAAATTACCGTATGTTGGTTTTCGTGTCCTTTATTAGTATTAGGTGCAACTAAGGTCTAAAGCTTGCTTTAAATTATCGTATACTTGATGATGCAATTATGTGTCGCCTTCAAAATAGGCACATTTTCTAAGTACAGTCGACCTCCCCTACAGTCACATCCTATATAGTCTCACACCTCCTATACAGTCACACACAGTTTCGGTCCCGACAGTGTGACTGCAGGTCGACACCAGCATTGTTCATGTGATGTATCCCGATTATCACGAGCGTTTGTGTATTAGTATATACGAAAAAATAACTCAAGTAGCACCTGTCAACTATAATCATCACGCCGAAATATCTTCTTTTCTATCTTGTCTGCGGAGGGGTGAGAGTTTATAATGAACCATCGAAACGTGTTACGTCCGGGTAAGAAAGAGGATCTTCTTGACGTTTGGGTGAAGGCTATAGTTGCTAATTTGATAATTTTGTTTAATAGTATTTTTCTTCTCGAAAAAGATACGCATTTATCAGTTCCAACATGCTCCTGTTAGACTCCCCAAAATAATAAGGCACATAAAACTGTAATTCTCCGCCTAAAGCAGTGATCTTTTTTCGTGCTCGACATTACGCTAATACCCACAGAATATTGCAGATCTATACATACAACACCATATCTGCATGCTGATAAACGAACAGTACCAACTAGACAATTGCCAGCAGTAGGAGCTTCTTCAATTTTTGAAATGGTAGAGGGGAAAGATGATATGGAAGCTGCTAAAACGAAAGGCAGGCAGCAGGCAAAACTATGTAATCCTTTCAGAAAGCCCGTTGTTACTGAAGCTTCAAAGAAGCACACCGAGGTTAGCTCGATATCGGACAATATTTATTTCAAATTTTCAGTAATTTCGGACTTACTGAATTGTTGTTACAGCATAATTATTCTACAATGGACTTCCGAATAGCCCCGAGAAAGTTGAACATGCTGGCTCGTCAAATAAATGGAAAGAATGTTAATTATGCAATAAGCCAGATGCAGTTCTCTCCTAAGAAAGCATCAAAGAAGATTATGAATTCCTTGTGTACTGCGAGAGATCACGCATGGAGATACAAAATGATGGATCCGAAAAAACTTTATATTGGCAAGTAGAATTTATAATGCGCCACGAGAAGATTCAATCTTGCTGTAATGCGATCTGTGAATACCAACTTCAATCAGATCTCAGCATTATGTACTTTATTAACTCACTTGCATGAACTTTGCTAACGTCAAACTTTCCTAATCGTTTTTCATAGATAGAGCCTGGGTTGGCAAAGGCCTATACCGGCGGAAGAGGGCGTATGGTGCGCGTGGACGTTTGTTTACACTTAAATTGAAAAAGGCTCATATGAAGTTTGTCATTAAAGAAGCGAAACACGAAGGAGAGGGTCGACCGGAGAAGAAGAAAATAAAAGGGATGAATTGGGAAAAGAAGAAAAAAGTTTGGATGCCATTATCGGAGGACAAACCCATTTATAACCCTTCCAGGTTTTACAACTGGTAAAAGTGGACAAGATTGTATGAGCATCTAAAGAGTAGATGATAATGTTCTCGTCAATCTTATTATAGATTGCACGATTGTCAAGAATATTAATAAATATAGTTTTAGCAATGTTGATGGAATTATGTAGTTGTGCACTCCTATTAGTTGCGCTACGACTGAGCATCAAAGGTGAACAGTCCATGCCAAAATTATGTGTCATCAATAGTGGTAATTTTGCAATCAGTACTTTCAGAAATGTTGATAATTATGTAAATAGTAAATATTAGTAATAATTTATCAGCAAATGACAGTTTGCTAATTCTTCTTGCCATGAGTGTCATCAATCTTTGTCTGTCTCCCCTCAGCATCTCCGCTCCATAATCCCATTAATATTGCCATATGGCATAAAAGTAAAAGTTGGGAGCTTTCAGCTGTGGCAGGATACACATTCCAACAATACTCGATTGCCATCATGATCACAAATCTAAAGTAGAGAACAGATGTTAACAAAATCTGTCAACCCATCGATTTGGTTAATGAACACATATGCATACCTTAGAGTAATGGGGATCATAGTACAATGCCAAAGGATAAGTGGTATGCTATGGAAATACCAACTATAAAATTGATAATGGAGTGTCCTTGAAAACATAATCCCTATGAAATTGCTGGTAAACATGACTGTTGTTATATCTTAATATTATTTACAGTTAAGGATAAAAAATCAATATATAAAGACAACACAGTATGCATGTAAAAAGATACGATTTGCTGTTAGCCAACGACTCTCTTCATCTCCATACGATGTTGCCATTATTCCTCGATGTAGCATAGCAAACACACCGTTTTCTGATCTAAGGGATAATTTTGGAACGTCATCACGTTATCAACGCACCTACTTATAATACTATTCATACATACCGGCACCACTTTTTGAAAAGAAAAGCCATTAATACCCAGAAATGACAAACAAGCAGTAGCTTTGCAAACCATGCGCTCAAGAATACATTCTCATTGAGTAATTTCCAGTTGACAGTCCATTTGTAAGTGAATACACGTGTTAACTCAAATGACCGACTGAGATATTCGTACGGATAAACAGTGATAAATGGATAGGCTAGGGCAATCTAATAAAACAGTAAAATACGCGTTATATAAAATATAATAAATAAGAAGAATGTCTGTCGAACAATTACCTGGACCAAGATTATATAGCCAACATTTAGGATGCTTTTATACAAACCTAGTGCTTTGAACAAAAGTAAACCGAAAGCAGGGAAAAATAGTAGAATATTCATCTTGACCGATAAAGCCAAACTGTGTTAAAAGACCAATGAAGTATATTAATAAACGTACCACATACATACATATGATTATTAACATTGCATTACCTATAAAGCAAACAACTTGTCGTCCAACGTTTTTTGATCATTGAAAGAATGCAAAGGTAAATAAAAATCATGGCCACGGGGTCATTAAATAATCTCAAAACGTATACCGAATGAATACGTTTTGATAAACACAACGGGATTAAGACATATGGCGGTATCTATGACATAACATTATTCTGGTTAGAAGATTCGTCGACAAAGTATTGTAGTGAAGACATTCATTTAAACATGTCACCTTGAGGGAACATCTATATATATAGAAAACAATTAATAACGTTAAAAGATATAACAGAATATACAGATATTGAGCCAATTGGATGTTCCTTCCCGAATCTGTGGCATAATGGAACAGAGAAAAGATATAGACAAATCCTGCAGGATATCTAGTTATATTGGATACAATAAGTTTATCAGTTATAATTTGAGTCATAATCACTGCTATGTACATACACTAAAGGGCCGGTATCTCCACGTAAGTTATAATAATTACGCTCCCCATCTAGAAAGCCAGCTACTTCTTGCATATATGATATCCAGTCAATTTCAGTATCTACCACAAGTGTACAATAAACAGCAGGGTCACTTAGAAGATCATGATATCAGTGTGATCAATATTCGCAAGCGCACATTTCACTTTCTTGACAATAACCAAATTGAGTAAAGTATCAAGTAGCAGTAACAACGCAGCAGCATGCCAGTAGTATTTGGTGTCAAAAAGTAAACTGGATATAATCTTTACAAGTTTTGACATGGTGGATGAACGAGTTGCGATTTGTGATCTGTCTGCATCAATTATATTTTCACACGGTCACAAAAATTCAGTTTAAGAATTCTATCAAATATTGCTTAATACTCGAATGGGTTTACGATGGCAATGCCAATAGAGGAGTGGTACTATGAAGTTCCGCTAATTACCAGAACTTATATGACAGCAGCTGTGGCGACTAGTTTGCTAGTGGTTAGCATCAAAACACACGATCTATAGAGAAGTAATATGGAAACGAAATTACAAGCATTAACTAACTGGTTTCGTTGTTATTTCAGTATCTCGGTATCATAAGTCCTTATCAGCTGTATTTCAACTATGATTTAATAGTTCATAGACATCAGGTATGCTTGACGTTGAACCTGGCGAGCGTAACAAGTTATTGTAAGCTTCAAGATTTGTTGCCCGTCTCACACTATTTAATTGATTGCGACTACATTGGTTTCTTTGATATAGTATTGGCGTCTAGTTACCAATTTTTTGTACTTTGGAACATTCTCACTTGAATTTCTATTTCATATGTTTTTCCTGTATGTAAAGTTAAATTTAGTATATTATGTTTAATCATCCGAGATATTTGATCCATTGAAGTACCTACAATTTCCTTAACCAGAGTTCGTCACAGTCGAATGCTGGAAGAAGGTTCATTCCGAGGAAAGACTGCCGATTTCTTCTGGCTGCTGATCTTTGCTGCCACCGCCACACTTGTAAGCTTAACTGACCATATCATGTCTCAATCTGCTATTGTGTTTATTTCATCAAATGTTAAGTTTGCTGATAATTTACAGCTACTCTCTCCCATCGCGAGTTTGTTACCTGGCCCGCCAATGACATTCCTCGGTTCACCACTGGCCTTTACGCTGGTCTATATATGGTCACGTCGTAATCCCTGGATACGTCTTAATTTCTTAGGTCTATTTGTGTTTAGTGCCCCGTTCCTGCCATGGGTACTACTAGGGTTCTCGTTACTACTCAATAGCGGCTTTCCTACAGGAGATCTCATGGGAATCGCGGTAGGCCATATTTACTATTTCTTCGAAGATGTATGGCCGAATGAAAGACAGAGTGGAGGAGTGCGAATTCTGAAGACACCTGCGTTCATGTGAGTAGTCATGTAGGATAGGGATGTTTATTTGTAAATTAGTCTTTTATTTTGGTGTTCGAATATCTCAGAAATGCAATACGATGCTTGGAGAATTGCATCCTTATCAGTTAAGGTAATAATTTTCGCTAAATTATGTATATTTTCAAATTCTTCTTTCTCACCCTCCCCCCGAAGAACCCGATTGTTTGAAACATCAGATGATGTTAACATAAGACAGCCCGAAAATATAGGTTTTCCTGCTGACGATGTTGATACTGGTGCTGATAATGAACAACCAGAAAGTGCTGCTAACACAACAGATGTTGCACCAGACGTAACCGCGCCAGCAACATAGTGATAGCATGCGTAAGAATGGATGATGAAGCGACTAGCATTTGGCCGGTGTAGAACAAACGTACTTACGTATTACATATTAGAGTGCAAAGAAACAATTTGATCTATAGGTTTATCTCTTTATCGACCTACTAGATGACGAAAATCTTAGATCCGGAAATTTCGTGTATGATTCACGAATTTGAGCAACCCATGACTTTGCATATATATATGAAACCGACAATTAGACACATTTATATCTGACGCTAAATAGTCCGCTAGCATAAATAATGAATAAAGCTATTCTACCGTCATCAAGCCGACCTACCCTCTATTATTCTCCAAACATCATCGGCCTTACATTCAACCTGCGTATTGAGATCCAGATCTTTTACGGATACGAATCCTGTTTCAACTTCATTCTTTCCGATAATAACAATGTGAGAAGCATTAGATTTCACTGCCTGTGCAATGGCAGTTTGTAATGCCGGAAACCGAGACTTCCGCGGATGATTTAACAGAGTCTTGATGCCGTTTGTACGTAAGGACTTTGAGATTTGCACAGCAGTCATGAACTCAGAAGATACGGAAGGAGAGTTGGATTTGTCGGGTATCGTTATCACTGCAACATGACGCTCAGGCAATGGGAGCAGAGAAGGAGTGACTAACAGTGCTAGCCTGTCTATACCTGCGGCCCATCTATCGATGCGGGAAGACATTCAAACATATAGTTAGTCACGTTTGATCGAATTATACACAAACGTTCTTCAAATACAACTTTATAATTTACCCAACAGCCGGAATTTCCTCCTTCCCACCCATACGTTTAACCAAACCATCGTAACGCCCGCCAGCAAGTATGGTGTCCTGTGTGGTCCCTAGACTCTTATCTTTACATTTAAATTCAAAGATAGTTTCCTCGTAATAGTCAAGTCCTCTAACTAATCGAGGGTTGACTTTGTAAGGAATATCTAATTGATCTAGCATTCTACAGACGTTCTGAAATCTCGAAAACGATTCTGAAGTATAATAGTCGGAGATTATTGGACATGAAGCAATTATCGAGGCATCTTCTGGTTTTTTAGAATCAAGGATGCGTAATGGGTTTGTTTCGACTCTGTTGAATAAGATAAGATATAGTAGATGAGATAACTAATAGCCAAAAATTGGAATTCACCGGTTGGTTATTACCAGGAAGAGATGAAAATAGAATGTAAATACAACATTTACCGTCGTTGGCTATCATCAGATAAACGCTCAACGTGTTTCTGGAAATAGCTGCGAATAACGTCTCGATATTGATTCCTCGAGACATAGTCACCAAGTGAATTTATTTCTAGCTGAGAATTATAGTTAGCTTACCAAGCTCTAAACATTAAAGCAATGTAGAGAAATTCACCTCTATTCGGTTTCCTATTCCTATCTTGTTCAAGAATGTCCATGCTATATCAATAATCTCGGCATCTGATGCGAAATTATTATGACCAAACATCTCGACTCCAAATTGTTCAAACTGAAAAAAAAAACACACGATAGATATTACAATTAAATTCCGAAATTTATCAGCTAATTTAATCCAGAGGTTACCTGTCTTAGTCTTCCTTTCTGAGGTCTCTCGTGACGAAACATTGGGCCATAATAATATAATCTTTGTGGTAAGAAGTATTGCAATCTATTACTTAGTAAAGCACGAACAATTCCTGTAAATCGATATTAATCGACACGCGTTTACAATAAATTGATAATGAATCACGTTCAGATATGCTATGTAATTACCAGCCGTCCCTTCAGGTCTCAGAGTCAAATGATCTCCTCCTTTGTCAGTAAAGTTATACAGCTCTTTACCAACAATATCCGAATCATTTCCTAGCGTTCTCTCGAATACATGTGAAAATTCCAATATCGGTGTTGTAAACTACAAACATAAGATTAATCAATTTGTCAGCGTAAGTTAGCAGACCTCGTCACGGTATACCCGTGTTATATACCGACATGTTCAAAGCAATACAATTCTGCTACGGACGCAGCAGTTTGTTGGATAAATTTATATCGAACATTTTCTTCACCAAAACGATCGTGGGTTCCCCGTACAGGCCGAGAAGGATCTGGTTTACTCAATGAAGAAGGCTTGGGAGTGGTTATTATGGAACGAGAAACTAGTAGCTTCCACATGACCTCATTCTATCAACATCTGATACAGAGTTTTTCAAAACGCTACGGTAGTACAAAACGCGTGTCCAAAATATAGTTGACTGTATAGAAGGGTTTGTATCCAGTCATGTGATTAAAGTTATATTGTTATTATTCCCATTTTATTCTTATTATGAGATCAAATACCCTTTTCTTGAAGTATTAGCTTTATTATTGTCTAGCTTGGAATATTTTACAGAACGTTGACAAAAGGTGCTAGAAGTCTGTTGCCTGGAGGAAGAGCAAGCCATTTTTTTTGTTAAAATTTTGCAACAGTTGAGCAGTCTATGGAGGGCTAAAATTCTTATTAAAATGGTTTGCTATTTCACCATGCTTCGCTTTCGGATGTCATTTAGCATATTCGCAAATTTCGTGTTTATTATCTAGATTCAGTTGAGACCTTGTTTTGTATGAACTCTTGCACACTTTAGGCTGATGACTTTTTTTTCCTCGAATTATATTTAAAGCGACAATTATGTAATTTACACGTAATAGTAACTATGCAGTAATGTTGAATGTTATACATTACCCGGTGACTATAAAGGGGAGATTTTTCATATTGTTCTATAATGGTGGGACTTCCAAAATCGGGTGACAGTGACTCACATGTGGTTGTGACTCTAGGGGACTATGAAAATGGCAGGGACCGAAACTGTGTGTGACTGTATAGGAGGTGTGACTATATAGGATGTGACTGTAGGGGAGGTCGACTGTACTTATTAGTAGATTATTATTATATTGATTTACAATAAGGGAAATCCGTCCAGCTGAAAACCTGGGATATCAGGATACAATAGGGAAAATACAAATGAGGTATGGCTGTACCAGTCTCGCATTATAACGGCCAGAAACTCACGCCGGTATAGAAAGTTGACTGATATATGTCAGATCAGAATTCCAAACTTAAACTGACATGTGTCAGATGAAAATAATAGAACATTAGCAATAATAATAAATATGGCAATGTTTTATTGAATAATTCTGATCTGACATACAGTAGGATGCAAAAGTATCCCCCCACCTCTAATTCAGGATAGAAATAATTAAATGCTTTGAAAATTTCTCTGCGTATAGTGTGTCACAAACCCTGATTACCTGTAAATTTCAACTTGATCAGATGTCTCCAGAAAAAGTTTCCAAACACCCAATATTAATCTCTAAAACATATAATAAAACCATATAAAAACAGCATGTTGCTTATTTCGAACATGAACTTTAAAAATCCGTATCTCCATATGTATCTAATTAATTTGCATAATCTTTTTTTTGTTTTGTTTTGTCAGATTTATTTTTACGTGTCCCTTATGATACATGGTCGAACTAGAAGTAAATCGTTATTTATTCCTGACGACTAAATGCACAGGATAAGCATTCTGTAGTAGCAACTACACAGTAAATTCGTTTAAAATGTATATAAATGTATTCTAATGGTGCAGAAAATTAAAATAAAAAAAAATTACGGAATTTGGATAGAAGGGTATCGAAATATAAATTTATGGATTTTTATGGTTGAAATCGCACATGGGTATAATAATCTCGTGATCAAATATTCGATGCTTGAAAATCTTTCATGAAACATCTGATCGAGCCGAAAATCTATGGGTAATCAGGGTTTGTAATATGTTACATGCAGAAAATTTTTCAAAGCATTTAATCATTTCTATCCTGAATTAGAGGTGGGGGGATACTTTTACATCCTACTGTATGTCCCTGGACAAAAGTATTCGATGGGAGTTTTTTTTTGATTTTATGCAAAATCCAGTACAATAATTACACAACTTTTTATATCATTTTGTAGCTTTGCTTTTTGCGAATCTGCATGTGAAGTTTGAAGTGTTTAGCTTTCTTGAACGACGAATTATCAAACAAAAGGCAATCGTGATTAGAATCAATTTCGCCGATTTTTTTGGCTCTAAACATTTAGTTTATTTAGTACTGAGTTGGCCATCCATTATTCAAAATACATGCCTCAAGCCGTCTTGGCATGCTCTTAATCAAATTGGAATATGTTTGATGAGGAATTAGTGACCATTCCTCTTTCAGAGCAATCTCTAATTCGTTGTTTACGATTATTTAGTCGCCTTTCAAACTCATTCCAAAGGTGTTCAATTGGATTAAGGTCAGGAGATCTAGATGGCCAATCAGGTAACATTATGATTTTCTACGAATAATGTCTTTTAATATTTCTTTATCTTCATTATTTATGCTTTTAGGTCTACCACTCCTTCGAGCACTTTTTAAATTATCAGAGTTTATGTAGCGAACAATGGTATCCCGTACAGTGGATGACGGAATTTTAAATGTCTTAAATATCTTTGGAATGCTGCTTCCACCTGTTCTAAGACCCAAGATTTTTCCTCGATCAGCTTCTGTCAATTCGGGACCTTTTGGCATTGTGAACGATAATAAAAGTGCTCGGAAATAAAATTTGGAAACAGCGCGATAAAAACAAAACAAAACAACACAAAAATTTTTGCTTTTTTTATTTAATTATTCACATACAAAAAAGAGGTGGCAAGAAAAAGTTGAGCAAAACACATGTTTGTATTTGGTTTATAATAATAACAAAATTTATTTATTTAGATTTGTTTAAAATTACGTTTAATTTCTTCTTTCTTTTATACAAATTTTCGTGAGCCAAAGATCGGTGAAATTAATTTTAATTGCAATTGTCTTTTGTTTAATAGTTCGTAGTTCAAGAAAGCTAAACACTTCCAACTTCACATGCAGATTTGCAAAAGCAAAGCTACAAAATGATATAAAAAGCTTGTGTAATTATTATACTGGATTTTGCATAAAATCAAAAAAACTCTCATTGGATACTTTTGTCCAGGGAGTGTACTTATGTTTTTTGGGCTAACGCGATGGCTGAAAAACAAGCAAACTTACAAGAGTCAAAGGTTGTTGCAAAAATTTGTGGATTAAAGGTGATAGAGAACAGTTCTCTTCAGCATTCATGAATAAAATTCAGACCATTTTATTCTTCCTTTATTTTTTGCCCATGTGTAGGCAGAGCAACGTTTAACAATCGTTATTGTCACAACAAAACAAGTGAAACAATATGCACTATCTACAACTTCCAATGTTCATACAGAGCAGGTAGGGGAAAAACAAAAAAATTTTACGGACGAGAATTATACAAACGCGTTGTCCCCTACAAGAAAGGTAATAGCTCAAGTTCTCTCTTTTAATGAATAACCTTGTATCAAACAAACCACATTTATAGAGAGTTGAGAAAAGACCAATACCAACATATATTTGAACCAATAACTGATGACGGAGAATTTGAGGTATTAAAAATATTATACAATGATCATATAAAGGGAACATAAATCTGATAATAATGTATATTTATTTACAGCAAGAAGCTATGTTGTTCTTTGAACCCTCCAAAATATCAAAAATCTAAGAGATGGACGCGGGAATGACTGAAAGAACTAATGATTGGGAAGTTAAGCTTTTGAAATGGCGAAAGCAATCCTTAAACAATTAATTTACGGAATTTGCTCATCAAAAGCAAATATCTGTAATATACTTTCTACTTCATCAATCTTTTATTTTCAACAAAACAATGAGCAGCATATACCGGTTTTCTAACACCAGATGAAATTACTGATATTCAGTCATGTGCCCGCTCAAAATTCGAAATATTAGAGATTCCAAATGCAGTTAAGGAGTATGTAGAAGAAAGCAAAAAGGTTTGTGAATAAGTTTTATAGTATATTTAAAGTAATGTTACGACGAGCTGATCGGCTGACGTCGATAAGTAAGTCACATGGTAAAATCTTCCTCTGCAGTAATCAAACAACACCATGAGTTTTACCCCCCCCCCCCCCGGAGTTTGGGGCGCGGTACGAGCTGTTTCTGGAGACTTTCCGCCTGACGATCAATTATTAATAATTAGATGTTACTCAAAGCAAACGCGAGTAACGCTATTTTGGTGACAGTTTTGAACACAAGAATGTAGCTACGAATAGAAAGTAACGTGGTTTTGGTGACAGCGTGGGAAAGATAGAAAATACGTGCACTGTGGCGTAGAAAATCTAGTAACAGCAATATGTATATAAGGAGCCGTCCCGACCGTCAAAAATCCTCATGTTGAAAATGTTGAAATCGTTGATGTTATAAAATAAA